TTTTTTTTTTTTGCCAAGGTTTAGCTGTTCATTTACAACATTAGTGTGTACGCATTTGTTCAGGCCCATGGTGGCAAATGTTGTTTCTTTTCCTTCATCAGGCTGGGGCACAGTGGATGTCAGGGACTTTGTGCTAAGCCTGATACAGCGTGCTCCCAAGGGCCCCGAGCTCCCTCAGCCTTCCTGAAATCATCCTAACACAGAGGCCTCAGCTACTTTGAGAGAAACCAGAATTTGTTTTTTGAAATCAATTGGGATCTAAAGCCTAAAATAAATATTCATACTTTACATAGAACTGAGCACTTGGTTGCTATTTATTTTAAAGGCAGGGTTGTTAAACTTTCCCCCAGGGCATGGGGAGGGTGGGGAGAGAGTGGGGATTAGTATGTGTGGATTTTTAGGGAAAGAAGAGTTAAAAATCACTATGCCATTTTTGGTTGATGCTGCTGGGGAAAAGTCAAAACTACTGGATATCACTGTTGGGAGAGGAAACACCTGTTTTATAAACTTACACAGCCTTCACTTCAAAGATAGCACACTCTGACCACGAGGGGTTTTTAAGTAGCCAGTTTTAATTACTCAGTATTAATCCTAGGTGCATGTGTTAAGATTTTGGTTTTCATCGAGCTGCTTATACTAATAGTGATAAATGTGGATGTGTGTGAGACACGAGTGACCTGTTCTGCTTTCCTCATTGGATGAAATGTGGACATTTCTCTCCTTTCATTGTGCTTTGGTTGGAGTGCAAGCAAACGCACCTGGAGCTTGCCCTGGGCTGCTGTTCTCTTTTGGCAGGGCCGAGGGATCTTCCTGCTAGGCAGTTCCTGCAGTTTTGCTTCCCAATTCTCAGTCATGTGTTGCTTCAATCAATATTGAGATCCAAGCAGCCTTCATCAACCAAGGACTTCAGAACTTTTGAGGGTGATTGTGTTTTACAGGGTTGGGAGAGGCCATAGGAAGGCAGAAATCTGTTAGTAGGAAAAACCTCTAAAATGTAAAATCACAGATTTCAGTAGGAAAATAGTGAAGCCTGACTCCAGATCCCTGTGCACTAGTGTCAACTCCTACTTCACATCATAGCTCAGAAGAACCAAAGGGTTGATTACAGACAGGGGTGCAATGGATGGATTATAGGATGCTTACGTCCTTAGCCCCTCTTTCCTTTCTGATCTCAGGGTTTTCATTCGCTCTTCAGACTCTGAACATTTACTATTTCCCAGCAGTCCCCGCTGGCCTCCAAAGTTTGTCTGATAAGAAGTAGGAATATATGAAACGATATTATAGTTCATCTGGGACATTGTTGAGCCTGGTCCTGTAAGCTTTATGTCCGGTTTTCATGAGATCAGGGCTGCTCATTTGCATTCCTGAATCTAGTGATGCCAGTCAGATTTAAGGAACAAAGGAGCCCTCTGACAAAAGGCTCTTAAGTCATCTGACTGCAGACTCTCATAGAAGGATTTTGAAAGCAGCTTTTTACTCCTCATGTTTCTTAAATGATGCATCCAGAAAACCTGCAGATCTTCTGGAGCCAAAGTCTCTTCCGATGCTCTCTGATACCACCCCTCTTCCCCCACCCTGGTTTACAGCTAGCTGCTTGGTCTTTCTTGGAGCCCAAATATTAAGCTTGCCTTTCCCTTACTTCTGAAGCATTTTTCCCAGGTCTGGCCAGGCACCTTGGTGTTATGGGAGGTGCTGCTCAGCCCTGTCCCATTAGGTACTCTTGGCCTCTGTTGCATGTTGACTCAGGGAGCCAGAGAGCCAGGTGGAGACTGTACCTCTCAGCCCTTTGGGGTTTACTATTGAGGGCCAGGTTTGCCTCTGATGAGAGTACAGTCAGTTCCAGAAAAGACAGAAGTGTGTTAGTGTGCAAACAGGTAGACAGTCTGATAGCCCAGCTTGACTTATAAAACCCAGATGTTGGTTCAAGAGCTGTGTCCCTGAGAACACATCCTGTGGGGGAAATAAAAACTTGAGTGTGTAATTTTTTTCTTTTTGGGAGTGGAGGTCTCGGGCTTAGGCCAGAACCTTGTGAGGACAGTTGTGCTTATTATTTGGTGTGACATGAACTCAAGATCCTGCATTTTTCATAGACTACCTTTGATTCTAGTTGAGGCCTCACTGGATCTCTTCAGTTCTGTGTATTCTGAGGCTGGGTAGAGACAAGTACCATCATGATTCCCTTGTTGTTTCTCTCAAAGTCCTCCTTTTCCCCCTTCCTATTTCATATCATTCCAGAGTTCTTTTCTATTAGCCACTTTTTTGTAGTTCCTTCGTTTCCCTTCCCTGGTAATTATTTACTTCTTGCTGGTTTCCTTTTGTAGGTTTCCTTTTGTTTGGGACATACACAGTCAGAGATTGAAGGGGGAAATGTGCAATTCTCCATTGAAAATTCTCTCTCCACCCCTCCCATCCTGATAAAAACAAGGTTTACATTTACAACTAAAAAGATTCAGATGCAATTTTCAACTATTCTGAAACCAGCAAGGACACACCTGACTATAATACTTTTCTTAGTTGAAATTGTAGATGTTTTTCTTTAGTTTAACTTATGAGAAAGGATTATCTGATGCATTTTGTGTTGACTTCCCTTTTAGTGCTTTATTTTGTTTTTTTTTTTCTGCCCATCTGTCTACTAATAAAATGTGAAATAAAATATACCTGTATTGCTACTTCCCCGTGGGATGACCCTCTTTTTTCTTGTGTTTAAAAACTAAAGGTGGTCTCTGAGTAGCTCTGCTATTACCTTGCAGGTTACATCACCAGCTTGGCTAAAAAATTAAAACCAGAACTTGCTGACCTGCCTTTTATAACATTCTGCCTGATGCTCTTACCTCCCTGGAAAACAACCATCACCAATCTTTACTAGTTTCTAAAGGACAGCTAGTCATTTTTTTAAACTTACCTATAAAATAAGGCACAGTTGCCAGTCTGAACAGGTGCCCTACTGCACTCCTTAGACAAGCACTTTGTTTTCCTTGTAATCTGTTTTCCAAACTTCCTGCTGGTAGTAGCAGAGACCAGGCAGGAAACACATTGTTTAATGAAAATCCTTAACAGACAACACCTACAGCAGTAGGTACCCACCCCATCAATGAAAAGACCACTGCATCTGACTTTCGAGGCCAAGCAGAAAAGGTAAGCCTGTGACCCTGGCTGGTTCTGGACTTGACCAATACTGGGTCTGAAGCAGCACTCCTTTTTATTCACTTAGTGGTGAGGTGCTTATTTAGGACTGAAGTGAGAGGCCCTAACACCTTGGGTAACATGGCCAGGCCTGGAGCTGCTCGTGAGTAGGGAGACACCGTCCTGCTGGACATACAGGACAGTTCAGCCTCTGACTCCTCTCCACTGGTGGCCTGGGAGCTGAGCAAGTCAGAAGCCTGGCCTCCAGCTGAGAAAGGAGCTCTGGTGGCACGCTGCCCAAGGTACTTGACTGCTAACCAGAAGGTTGGTGGTTCAAACCTACCAGCTATCCAGTGGAAAGAAGCCAAGACAATCTACTTCTGTAAAGATTTACTACCTCAGAAACCCAGTTTGGGGGTGGGGGGATGCTATGAGTTAGAGTCAACTCGATGGCTTTGGTTTTGGTAGTGGGTGGTTGGGTGGGACTTTCTGGAGCAGACATTTTAACTCAAGACACACCTACCTACTTCATGCCACACCTATTGGTTGACTCCCACAGCACTTGACTACCAATCAAGATTGTGTGGTTGATGAAGATAAACAGGTTTACCAGGCAGGCACTGAGCCTGTTCATACTTAATCTCTCTTGGGGCTAGAACCCCACTCTCAATTCTTGGCTTTGCTTCAGAATTTAAAGTCAGTTGAGGTTTAGGAAGAAATTACCTCGTCATGGTGTTTGATTACCCTTTCCTAAGTCTGAGAAGGAGTAGCGAGAGCAAAATTAACTGATAAACACTGCCTACGAAGTTTAACTATCTTTTCAGCCCTATCATTTTACCTTTTCACTCCCTGGATACTGATTGGGGCCAAGGCAAGAGTGGGTCCAGCAAAAAAGGGAATACTAGGATGAGCCTGGATGAGCCTTTACAGCCTGTTGTCAGAAGACTCTGTGAGCTCTACTTCAGCCCTGTGATGAGTATGTGGAACCACAGTGAAGACCACTTCTGCCTTGGGCTATCCTTCAGTCACCACACACAGACATGCATGCTCTCAGAACTTTATTAGGTGGAGTTTGGGCAAAAGAGAAAAGCCCTGAAATAGTCGCCCACCTGGTTCAAGACAACTGGCAGAGAGGAGCCTTTGTGTGGAGAAGTGCTCTCACTGAAGTGAAAGCATATCTGATTTTTGTTTTTCTAAGAGGGGAGCTGACTGGCTAAGCATCTGGGGATAAGACTGGACCAGAAGCAGGAGCCCCAGTTCTATATGAAGACAAACAGGTGCCCAGCTTTACTTGGGGCAGGGGGATTATTTCTGCTATTCCCAGATCAAGACTTGCAGGAAGGGGAACATGACATAAGGGCCAGTTTCTCAAAAAAAAAAAAAAAGACACGGGCAAAAAAAAAAAAATAATGTTTACCAGGGAGCAAGATAAGTGGGGATTCTTCATTGGTACCTGACCCCAACACCCTAATTGCCTTGGAACCAGCCCTTCCAAAGACTGTCCCAAGAAGCCGGATGGGCAGAGGGGAGGGGGCTGGCTTTGCTACAGCAAGAAAGGGCTTGAGGAGGGACAGCAGGCCTAGCTAATGACAGCCTGTGCTCCCACTCCCCCAAGACATCTATCACATTTACAAATACATACATAAATACATACAACAGTGAGTCTGGGAGGCAGCACCCCACAGAGGCTCGGCTGACATAGTTAACGTCTCAGAAATTGTAGGAAATGGTGCTGGGCTCCGAAATACGGGCTCTGAGTGTTCTCTTTTGCCTGGGG